CCTGTGTGATACGACAAAGGGCTGCAAAGTGTTACTAACATACTATAAAGTGTTATTTTTTATTATTATTATTACTGTCCAGGATAGCATTCTATACCCATCTGGCACTCCAATTATTTTGGCTGTTGTTGCTGTGATAACTCCACATTTTATTAGTCTGAACAAGCTATGCATACTAAACAACTACAAGACAATGCTAGCTCTTCTACTAGGTAGATGTCTGACCATGGATAAAAAAAGTCCAGCTCTCTGAGACTCAGTTTTCAAATCTGTGAAATGAGAGGCTTGGACCATCACGAGATGATCTTCATCTATTAATTACCTTATTTATTAGCAGCTTTATTGAACTATAATTTACATATCATAAAATTCACCCTTTTTTTGAGACAGGGTGTTGCTCTATCGCCCAGGCTGGAGTGTAGTGGCACTAACATAGCTCACTGCAGCCTCGACCTCCCAGACTCAAGCCATCCCCCACTTCAGCCTCTTGAGTAGCTGAGACCACAGGTGTATGCCACCACACCCAGCTATTTTTTTTTTCTAGTTTTTTGTACAAATGGGGTTTCACTATGTCACCCAGGCTGGTCTCAAACTCCTGGGCTCAAGTGATCTTCCCACCTGAGGCTTACAAAGTGTTGGTATTACAGGCTTGAGCCAACGGGGCCCAGCCACATTCATTCTTTTAAGTATACAATTCAATGCATTTTAGTAAATCTGGAGTTGTACAACCATCATCACAATGTAATTTTAGAACATTTTCATCATTCTAAAAAGAAACCTCATCCCCATTCCTCATTTAGATAATCTTTTTAAAAGTCCTAACTTTTCAATTTCTAGACTTATAAAGCTTTAGTAGCTCCTTGTCAATTTGCAAGTACAAATTCCTCAGTGTAACATTCAAAGTCCTTTACAATCTACAAAAGCTATCACTCTTTTTTATTTACCCATACAAATGTAGAAATTACTTTTTTGTGTTAAAACATTCCTTAATGAGCTAGCAATTATTTATGTGAAGGAGAGTCCAGAAAACAGATTTTTGACTAAATTATCCTTGTTCTTGATTAAAGAGGTTCATGAATTAAACACATAACACTATTCTCTAGAGTAGTAATTGAGGTCTAAGAGGCTGTAAACTTGGAAGAGTTCCTCCCTGCCTGTCAGGCTTCCCATCAGATCACAAGACATAATGAACATATTTTTCAGTCTCTTTCACTTTTGGACTTTATACTTAGCATCTCATCACCTGACTTGATTAAGAAATCCCAAAGGACAGTTGCTATATCTATATCCAGTTATGTATCTTTAACTCCCAATGTGGGATTCTGTATATAATAATTAATAATGATGATAGTAACTGGTAGCAAAATTAAACATCTACCATGTGCCAGGCACTGTTCTAAGCACTTTACAGACACTAATTTATTTAAATCTTATAATAACCCTATGAGATAGGTACTATTGTCACCATGATATTATAGATGAAGAAACTGAGGCACAGAGAGATTACGTATTTGCCAAAATCACAAAGCTAGTTAAGTAGCAGAGCTGAGATTTGATTTCAGACAGTCTGACTCCAAAGTGTGCACTCTTTCACCACAGCAAATTGTCCAACCAAAGCTCAATAAATGTTAATTGCATAAAGCCTTACTATTAAGGTTCCATTCCAGGAAAGAAAAGTAATTAAGAATCCTGTGTGCCAACTGACACAAATGTAATGAGGGTAGGGAAAAGTACATAGAACAAATTCTGATTCAGACAGAAGAGTCACCAAACATTAGGGTAGGCCTGAGATGCTCCAAAAATGATTGTTGAACCCTAAATTGTATCTTAGATAGATCTGTTTGGGAATGTAAAATTGGTAGTGTCTAGCTGAACATATGCATATTCTATGACCCAGAAATTCCACTCCTATGGTGTATACCAACAAAAATGTATATTTAAATCCGTCAAAAGAATGTGCTATTGGTAAAAGGCAGAACTGGAAATTCCCCAACAACAGAAGAATGGATAAATCACATGTGGCACGTTAACAAAACAGAATATACCAATGAGAATGATCTGTAAGTTCAAGAAATAAAATGGATAAATCTTTCAAACTATGTTGAGCAAAATAAGTAAAACACAAGATAGAATGTATTAATCCATTTATATTAAGTACAACAAAAGGGTAAAACGAACCTATCCTGTGAGAGGTCAGAATAGTGGTTTACCCTTGGAAGGGGTACTGACTGGAAGTGGGCATGAAGCAGGCTCCTGGTAATGTTCTGGCTTTTGGGGTTTTTTTGTTGTTGTTCTTGTTTTTATCTCAATAGTGGTTGCATGGGTGTGCCCAGTTTATAAGTTTATAGTGCAATGAATACTTCCAATCTACATACTTTTTATGTATATTGTACTTCAATACTTTTTTAAAGGCTTCCTGAGTAATGAAAAACACTCAAGCAAGAGCCAAAAATAAAAGTCACTTTGGTACTTGACATGCATAACTAATGACTGACAAACTCATAGTTATCCCTTTGTCCTAGGATGGACAAGGCAGATGTCTCTTTCTTTTGTGGAGCCAGTGAGTTAACAAAAGGGAGACAATTTTAATCCCTAGCCATTAATGCAACCCTAATCCTTTCTAGAAACTGCAAAAAAAAAAAAAAGACTCATGGAGCATACCTCCTGCAGGCATTCACAGCCCTGCCAGGCACCAAAACAAATACTAATTCTATTTAAAGAATCAAGTCTTCATTTGGAGTTTCCATTTATATTTCAAGACTAATAACACTATCCACGCAGTACAAATGGAGTCTGACCATCATGCAAGTTTAAGTTTTCTTGGGCACGAATCCTAACCCAGCACCAGTCTGAGCACTCCTATCTTTATTTATTAGGCAAGCATTCCACATCTATGGATCTCAGTTTCCTCATCTGTAATATGGGAATAATAATAGTATCTCCTAATAGGTTATTGTAAGGATTGAAGGCCTATTTCATGTAAAATATCTAACACACTGTGTGCCACATGGTTAAATATTCAATATGTGTTAGCTGCTATTATAATTTTAATATGGGCCAGTTAATGGTTTCTTCTCCCTTACAATTTCTATACAGCCAGCCCAGTTTATAGCTTCAATCCCTAACAGGCGTATTTTAATATTTTAACACTCAAGGACAAGGGCAGTTCTGCCTACCCACCTTCCCCAGGTCAAAAGAGAAAAAAAAGGAGCATTCAGGTGAGCTGATGTTGAACTAGACAGGTAACATGGCCCAAGCTTAGGTAGGTTGGCAGAAGAGGGAGTCTGGACAACAGAAGTTCCTTTCCTTTAATGGTACCACTTTCTTATACCATGTCAGAGGACCTGGTACAGATGACATGCTCTGGAAACAAAGGGACACAGAAAAAGGCAAGGCTGGCTGTTATAGGGGATGTGGTTCTCCTCCACAGAGAAGGGCCCTGAAGAGGAGGGAGTCAGAAAAAGAGGTTTGAAGGTTGGAGTTTGTGCTTTCCCCATCAGGAAGCATCATGGTCTTATGCTAACAAGTGGGCAAAACGTTACTAGTTACAAAAATTCTTTCATATACATCCTTTTATTTAATCCCACAACCACCTTGTAAAGTGAGCAGGGTAAATTTCATTATCCTCATTTGGTAGGTGTATTAGTCTGTTTGAGCTGCTGATAAGGACATACCTGAGACTGCGCAATTTACCAAAGAAAGAGGTTTATTGGACTTAACAGCTCCACGTGGCTGGGGAGGCCTCACGATAATGGCAGAAGGAAAGGAGGAGCAAGTCACATCTTACGTGGATGGCAGCAAGCAAAGAGAGAGCTTGTGCAGAGAAACTCCCATTTTTAAAACTATCAGATCTCATTCACTATTACGAGAATAGCACGGGAAAGACCCGCCCCCATGATTCAACTGTCTCCCACAGGGTCCCTCCCACAACAGCTGGGAATTATGGAAGCTACAAGATGAGATTTGGATGCGGACAGAGAGAAAAACCCTATCAGTAGGTGAGAAAAGCTAAGGCTCAGAGAGGTTAAATAATTTGTCCAAAGTCATTAGCTAGTAATTGGTGAGGATGCAGTGGGCAGCATTTTAATTCAAGTCTTCGGACATCAAAATCCATGCTCTTTCCATTAAAAACACGCTGGATTTTTTTACCTGGACTTTAATTATCCTGAGCCACGTGTGTTATGATCAACAGGAAAAAATAACCACAGACTAGTTGTGAACTTTTCACTGTCCCCCAGCCCCAGAGAGGAGAAAGGAGGGACGTGCATTTGAAACAGAAAGGGGCTGGCATTGGGAAGGGAGGGAGTAGAATCTGAAAAGATGAGAGAAAAAAGCACAGTGGCAGCTCTAACTCAGGGATGGCAAAAAACAGGCGACAAATGGCTGGATAAACCTCTTGAGTTTCTTCTCCAGGCTGAGCAGGGCCAGATCCAATCTGCCCCACTCCCCTTCCTTTCCCATTGCCCAGCTTTGGCTGAAGAGATGCTGTCGCCCCACAAACCCTCACAGGCATGCCGTGGAGCTGGGACGAGAGTGGGGGTCTGGGCAGCCCTTCGGGAATAGGGGTTGGAGGAGCCAAGAAGATTGTGAAGAAAAGCTGGATAAAGGAAGTAACTCCGCAGGAGGCAGTGCCATGTGGGGTATTCGCGAATGGCCGTTACAAGTCCGGCTAGTATAAAAAGCTGCGATAAGGGTGGGTGAAAATTAACGGCTGGAGAGGAGGTGGAGTCTGAGGGCAGAACAGGGGCGCGCGGGGGCAGTGTCGCGTTAAGGGGACGGTGGCTCAGACCACCTCTTTCCCGGCCGCCGCCGCCCGCAAGCAGATCCCGAGAAGAGGTGTTTGGTTGAAAGGGGGTGTGGACCCAGAAAGAGAACCCGGGTCCCCACACAACAAAGACGCATCAAAAAGTACCCTGAGAAGGCTGAGGAGGCGTGTCTGGCCTCCCAGGTGAGCACCAAGAAGCAGCTCGCGGCTGTCAGCCTCGCTTAACTCTTCTTACCTTGGGTACCGTGATATGATCCATGACCCCAGTTCCCGCCGCCGGAAGATCTCAGTGTTACTCCGGATGCCGCCGCAACCGCTTTAACCGCCTTCGGCCCCAACCCGGGTTTCTACCCCCGCCCTCCGGGTCCTGGCTCAAACTCTCGTCACCTGATCCTCGGCGGAAGCTCCTATCGCGACACTTCGCCCGTAGCCGCTCCCGCCATGTTGCTTCCTGGCATATGCCCTTTTCTTCGGGGAATTGTTTATCCTGGTTCAGATTCAACGTTTGGCCTAGTCTTTAAGTTCCAGATTCTAGTACTGCCACCCTTCTCACACTCCTTGATGCTATAAGGGCTCTGAACACAGATATTATTCCTCTAATATTACAGTGATAGCATCCTGCAGCGGTAACACAGGCTGCCGCTGTACTGGCGATTGAGTTTCTGAAGAGATTCCTAGCTGTGAGATCTTAGGCAAGTCATTATAGAATATTTTTTGAAATATGGAAAGGTATAACTTCCTCTCTATTCCTTCTTCATGTGTCTGCTGCCATCAACCTAGTTAAAATCTAGAATACTACAGTACCCTCATAACTTTGCCATCACAGAAATGGGAAGAGGACCAAGGAAGGGCCCACTAGACCAACTCTCAGAGGAGGGGTAGATAGGTGCACACCCACAGTGGTGTGCTCCAAGTCAGATTTGTGATGGAAAAAAAGAACAATCTGAGAGTTGGAAAATCTGGGTTCTACTCCTCTCAGGTCTGCCACTAACTTGCTGTGTGACCTTGGGGAAATCATGCCACCTCTCTGAGTCCAAGTTAACCAAGATTGCAATGGGGGTATTGGCCACTATCTCAGGGTAATTTCTAGCTCTACTATTGCAAGGTTATGGCTTGCAATCTCACTTCTCCTTCAAAATAATTTTGTTCTTCTTTGAGTTCTCATAACATTTGCTAGCAAAACTACTCGTTTATCATATTCTGCCTTTTTCCCTAGCCTGAAGGCCCTTCCCTCAATCCATGACCCTATTCTCCCTTGTACCATCGTTCCATCATTTTCAGTCCTTTTACTGCCAAATATCTCAAAAGAATAGTGGACTTATCATCACCTTCACTTCTCCATAACAAACTCACTCCTCCCTTACCACTCCACTCAATCTGCTCTTTCACATCATCCTCAATTCCAGTTGCTGATTCCAACAGCTCTTCTCAGTGCTCATTTTCTATTTGTTTTACAGCACTTAAAACGATTGATTCATATTCCTTTTTGACATTCTTTCTTTCCTTGGCCTTTATTATAAAGCAAACTCACTGGCTGCATACCCAACTGTTCCTTCTCTGACTCCTTCCCAGCTCCTCTTTCTCCTTTTTTTAAGCCATTTTCCTGGCTTCTATCCTCATTCCTCTTCTATTTTTATTCTTTTGATTATTTTGATCACTTCCACAAGTTAAATCCTTACTCCTGGATATGACTTGGATCTGTGTCCCCACCAAATCTCATGTCTAATTGTAATTTGTAATGTTGGAGGTGGGGCATGGTGGGAGGTGATTGGATCACGAGGGTGGTTTCTTTTGAATGATTTAATACCATCCCCCTTGGTACTATCATTGCCATAGTGAGTGAGTTCTCACGAGATCCAGTGGTTTAGAGGTGTGTGGCACCACCCCCTACCCACTTTCCTTCTATTCTGGCCATGTGAAGTGCCTCACTTCCCATTTGCCTTCCACCATGACTGGAAGCTTCCTGAGGCCTCACCAGAAGCAGAAGCCACTATGCTTCCTGTACGGCCTACAGAACCGTGAGCCAATTAAACCTCTTTTTTTTATAAATTACCCAGTCTCAAGTATTTCTTTATAGCAGGGTGAAAAGGGGCAAACGTGCCTCCAGTAAGGGACTCCCAAACTTTACATATCAAGTACCATGACCTTTTTCCTGAGTTTAAATGTATAACTTCCAATTGCCCTCTGACAGTTCTACATGTGTGTTCATTAGCACATTAAAGCCATCATGGCCCAAAACAAACTTATCCTTCACACTCTTCCACAACCCCCTTGTGTTTTCCCACCTCTACCACTTGCTCTTTCTCAAGTTTTTCCTATCCCTGCTATTTGAGCCACCATATACTCAGTTACTCAGACTCAAAACCTTGTTTCCATGCTGTTTAGGATAATGGAAAGGGTATATAGACTCTAGTCAGACCAGGTTCACATTTTGGCTCAGCTATATGCTAATAATACATGGCCCTGGGCAAATTACACAGACCCTCTGTAGCTCAGTTTTCTCATCTGTAAACCTATTCTCCTAAAGTTCTTGTGGGAATTCAAAATGTAATGTATATGAGGTTTCAGGAACATTGTAAAGACACAATGAATATTGATAGGTTCCTTCCTTTACTCAACTTTATCATCAAACATTTCTGTTTTCTCTCTCAAATGCTTACCTTGCTTCTTAGTTTGTTGATAAAATAGAAGCCATGAGAAGGGAACTTCCACATCATCCCACAACCAGATTTGCTTGATGTCCTGCATGTGAGCCCATATAATCTGCCTTCAATTAGTGAACTCTTCCTGAGCCTTCTTAAGGCAACCCTTCCACCTGTCCACTCAATTTCATTCTCTTTAGCCTACTCAGTTGTTTCCTTGTCTTTATTACTAAATGTTTCCACTTTACCAGATCATTGCCATCAGCATGAAAGCATGCCATAGCATTTTCAATCTTAAAAAATATCTTTTTGGTTCCACATTTCTGTCCCCGACCTACCAACCCCCCATTCCTCTTGTACTTTATAGCAGAAGTCTTCAAAAGATTGATCTAAATCCGTTTTCTTCTTTTCCTGTCCTATTCCTGTTTGAAACCACACTAATCAGCCTTTTCTTCCACCACTCCACCAAACTGTTCTTGTCAAGGTTACCAATAATCTCCCCATTGCAAAATCCATTGGTCATCCTCAGATCTCTTTTTGTCCTCAGCAGTATTTGATCACTCCCTTCTCCTTGATACATTTTGTTCACCTGACTCCAGGGATAGAAATACCACTTTCTCTCCTACTTCTCTGATTTCTCTTTCCCAATCTCCTTTGCTGTTTTACTTCATTTTACCTATCTCTACATGTTTTGGTAGAGCTCAGACTTTGGTCCTCTTCGTTATTTACACTTATTTCCTGGGTGCTGCCATCCAGTGCCATGGCTTTAAATAGCATCTATTTGTGGACAACTCCCAAAATGTTATCTCTAATCTTTATCTGTCCTCTGAACTCTAAAATTCCATAATATCCAGCTGCCTACTGACATGTCTACTCAGATATCTTAGAGACATCTCAAACTTGTCATGTCCAAAACAGAAGTTTAGATTTGTACTGGAATCCTCGAACCTGCTCTTTACACAGTGTTCAACTCAGGAAATTGTAACTCCATCATTCCAGTTGGTCTTAGTGCATTTGTGCTTCGAAAACTAAATACTCTAGACTGGGTAATTTGTACAGAACAGAAATGTACTTGTCACAGTTCTGAAGGCTGGAAATCCAAGATCAAGGTTCCAGTAAGTTCAGTGTCTAGTGAGAAGGGCTTTCTTTGCTTCCAAGATGGCATCTTACATGCTAAATCATCTGGAGTGATGAACGCTGTATCCTCACATAGCAGTAGATACACACATGGCTAGTTCCATCTAGCCCTTTTATAAGGTACTAATCCCATCCATAAGACTACACCACTCAAGGCCCAATTACCTTCTAAAAGCCCCACCTCTTAATACTGTTGCATTGGGAATTAAGGTTCAATATGAATTTTGGAGGAGACGTAAACATTAAAACTTACCATGGTCATTCAGGACAAAAGTCTTCGAGGCATCCTTTCTCTCATATCCCAAACCTGATTCATCATCAAATCCTATGAATTCTTCTTTCAGAATAGTCTCCAAATTCAACTACTTCTCACTCCTGTACCTTGGCCCAAGCCTCTACTTTATTATATTTTTATTTTTTGAGACAATGCCTCTCTGTCACCCAGGCTGGAGTGCAGTGGTGTAATCATAGCTCACTGCAGCCTCCAGCTCCCAGGCCTAAGTGATCCTCCTGTCTCAGCCTCCCAAGAAGCTGAGACTACAGGTGTACCACTATGCCTGGCTAATTTTTTTTTCTTTTATTTTTTTTTCTAGTAGAAATGATGTCTTTCTATGTTGCCTAGGCTTGTCTCCAACTCCTGGACTGAAGCAATCCTCCCACCTCCACCTCACAAAGTGCTGGGAATACAGGAATGAGCCACTGTGCCTGGCCCCAAGCCTCTGTTGTCTTTTGCCTGGATTGTTGCCACAGTCTCTAGCTGGTCTACACGTTTTGGCCCTGGTCCCCCTAGAACCTATAATCTACATAGCATCTTCTATGGGACTAGAATCTAGAATCTAGAATGATATCATTCCTTAGTTTAAAGCTGTCTAATGGCTCCCCATCTCAGAGTAAAAGCCAAACATTAACTATAGTCTATAAGTTCCTACATATTATCTAAGCCCAGTACAACTCTGATTACATCTATTATATCTTCTATCACTCTTTTCTCTGTCTGCTCAAGTCATATTGGTTTCCTTGCAGTTTCTTAAATATATCAGACATGCTTCTGCCTCAGGGCTTTTACATTTGTTATTTCCTCTGCCTAGAATGCTCTTCTCCTAGATATTTCTATGTTTACTCCCTCATCTTTCTCAGGTCTCTGATCAAATGTCACTGCACCAGAGAATCCTTACCCTCCTGAACACCATATATAAAATAAAACTATCACCACATCTTCTCCAACGTTCTCTACACTCCTTTTTCCTTCAGAGTTATCAATACTACCTGATGTATTATAAATGTATTTGTCATTTATTACCTCTCTCTCTAGTATGTCATCTCTATGAGGTCAGGGACTTTTTGTTCACTGTTGGATTTCCAAAGTCTAGAATAGTCCTGACACATAGTAGGTACTCAATAAATATTTGTTGAATAAAAACAACAAATATTTTTAGAGGTATCCCAAATTTTTCCCACCATTAACACTAGTGATTTCTAATAACATTTTCTTTTTAAGGCAAGTTGGTGTCATTTTGGAAGAAATTGATGCACACATAGTGACTTGCCAAAGGTTACAGAAGAG